GACGCTGTTTAAATCCAGACTCAAAACATTTCTGTTTAACTGTGCATATAACTGAAAGGTTTTCATTCCGCACTCTTCTCTCCAATTTATGTCTCTCTTTTTTAATTTTAATCTTCATGATTATTTATGTTTTGATTTGTTTTTATTATGATTTTAATGTATTTCTTATTCTGTAAAGCACTTTGAATTACTTTGTGTACGAATTGTGCTATACAAATAAACTTGCCTTGCCTTGCCTAAAGCAGGACTGAACCAGGTCTAAACAAGGACTAAACCACGACTAAACCAGAACTAAAGACCAGGTCTAGACCTGGTCTAAACCAGGTCTAAAATCAGGAGTAAACCAGGTCTAAAATCAGGACTAAACCAGATCTAAAACCAGGACTAAAACCAGGTCTAAACAACATGACACCTAACAGTAGGTTGACATAATTTAAGGTGATCTCATATAAAAAATAATTTCTGTATCAATAATATTTTTTAATATGGTTAAGGAAAGGCTTATCTTGTTACTGTCTTTTAACAGACAAAACCTCTTATGTTAAGATATCGTGGTCTTTGTTTCTCCATCTAATATTAATACAGATGGAAAAGTACATCGTAATCACCGGGAAAATGATTTAGCTCCCCTCTGGGACGATGAGATCATCACATTCTAGAATTCAAAATAGTTTTGGAGCCTGAGAAGCTGTCGCCGTAGCAACGTGATGTTCTAATGCCGCCCTGGATCTCCATGGTGATAGAACTCTGCTTGATGACATCATCAGAGAAGCACGACGCTGCTTTAAAGTAAACTTTGAGTGACACAGTGAAAAAAACACTAAAGTGACAGAATACTTTTACTACTGCTACTTCAAAGCAGCGCTCTGCTTTATGACATCATCAGTAAAGGACAAGCACAAAGCACAAAGCAACTTACTGTTTTGAAGAAGATTATAAGTATAACACGAAACAAACACTACAGACAGAGAATACTGCCACTTCTACTACTACAACTACTGCGTGTACTGCGTCTACTACGACTACTGCGTCTACTACGACTACTGCGTGTACTACGACTACTGCGTGTACTACGACTACTGCGTGTACTACAATTACTGCGTGTACTACAATTACTGCGTGTACTACAATTACTGCGTGTACTGCTACTAGAGCTACTACTGCACGTTTACACTAGAGCTTTTCTCTCTCTCTACTGCATATTTAAACAGAAAAAATGTCCTGCTGGTTTTGTAGAAAATCCCGACCTAAGGTCAATCGCCAAATCTTAGAGGCTGAGAACCACTTTCTCAGGTTCTTGCACGAGAACTTAGAAAGTGAGAACCAGCAACAGCACGAGACGATCCAAAACTTAAAGAATCAGAACCAGCAACAAAATGAGAGGATCAAAAGATGAGAGGATCCAAAACTTAGAAAATCAGAACCACCAACAAAACGAGACGATCCAAAACTTAAACAATCAGAACCAGCAACAAAACGAGAGGATTCAAAACTTAGAAAATCAGAACCAGCAACAAAACGAGAGGATCCAAAACTTAGAAAATCAGAACCAGCAACAAGACGAGAGGTTCGAAAACTTAGAAAATCAGAACCAGCAACAAAACAAGAGGATCCAAAACTTAGAAAATCAGAACCACCAACAAAACGAGACGATCCAAAACTTAAACAATCAGAACCAGCAACAAAACGAGAGGATTCAAAACTTAGAAAATCAGAACCAGCAACAAAACGAGAGGATCCAAAACTTAGAAAATCAGAACCAGCAACAAGACGAGAGGTTCGAAAACTTAGAAAATCAGAACCAGCAACAAAACAAGAGGATCCATAACTTAAATTGTGTCCAGGAACAGATCAAGAGGTTCGAAAACTTAGAAAATCAGAACCAGCAACAAGACGAGAGGTTCGAAGACTTAGAAAATCAGAACCAGCAACAAAACAAGAGGATCCAAAACTTAAATCGTGTCCAGGAACAGATCAAGAGGTTCGAAAACTTAGAAAATCAGAACCAGCAACAAGACGAGAGGTTCGAAGACTTAGAAAATCAGAACCAGCAACAAAACAAGAGGATCCAAAACTTAAATCGTGTCCAGGAACTGATCAAGAGGTTCGAAAACTTAGAAAATCAGAACCAGCAACAAGACGAGAGGTTCGAAGACTTAGAAAATCAGAACCAGCAACAAAACAAGAGGATCCAAAACTTAAATTGTGTCCAGGAACTGATCAAGAGGTTCGAAAACTTAGAAAATCAGAACCAGCAACAAGACGAGAGGTTCGAAGACTTAGAAAATCAGAACCAGCAACAAAACAAGAGGATCCAAAACTTAAATTGTGTCCAGGAACTGATCAAGAGGTTCGAAAACTTAGAAAATCAGAACCAGCAACAAGACAAGAGGTTCGAAGACTTAGAAAATCAGAACCAGCAACAAAACAAGAGGATCCAAAACTTAAATCGTGTCCAGGAATTGATCAAGAGGTTCGAAAACTTAGAAAATCAGAACCAGCAACAAGACGAGAGGATCCAAAACTTAGAAAATAAAAACCAGCAACAAAACAAGAGGATCCAAAACTTAAATCGTGTCCAGCAACTGATCAAGAGGTTCGAAAACGTAGAAAATCAGAACCAGCAACAAAACGAGACGATCCAAAATTCAATAAATTGTGTCCAGGAACTGATCAAGAGGTTCCAAACTTAAACAATCAGAACAAACATCTGCGCGAAAGGATCGAAAAGTCCTCGGTTAAGAACCAGAAGCTACAGATCAGGTTTAGATGGGGTTTTCAGACCTGGTTTAAACCTGGTTTAGACCTGGGTTAGACCTCGTTTAGTCCTTGTTTTATACCTGCCGGTATTACGACATCCGTCCGATATTATGACATGTCTCAATTTACTCTATTTTTGTTTCGCACTCATGCCTCACAGCAAGAAGGTTGTGGGTTGGATCCCCGGGTGACCCGGGTTTTTCTGTGTGGAATTTGTGTTTCTCCTCGTGTCTGGATGAGTTTCCTCCGGTTTCCTCCATCAACACAAAACCTGCTCCGGGTCCATGAACAGTTGAGAGTCAAGGACACTTAAACACAATCAATTCAATCTTTGTGTCCTTAGGCAAGACACTTCACACACATTGCCTCATATGAAAGCGGTGTGTGTGTGAGTGATGGTGGTGTTCGGAGGGACCGATGGCGCCGATTGACATGGCAGCCGTGCTTCTGTCAGTCTGCCCCAGGGCAGCTGTGGCTACAACAGTAGTTTACATCAGCAGGTGTAGAGTGAATGAATAATGCTGAATAATGTTCTGTAAAATATCTTTGTGACAAAAAGCGCCGTCTCTATTCAGACACGCCGCTATTACAACATGTTTTATATTTGTGACTACAAAATAAATAAACTATTCTAAATATTTTAAAATATATCAACATTTCATCATTTGTAAATCTAGTTATTGAAAAAAACTAAATCACACACAAAGTCGGAGCTCTCCTGAAACTCTGAGAGGATCGAAACAACAAAAATGTAGAGCTGTATGATAATAATTTAGTAAAACAAACCAAAAACTACTCTGGGTGATATATCGATATAGCAGCCCACGATATCGATACTGTATCATCACATTAAACCATACGATATATCGATATTTTTGCACACCCCTAACTGGAACTGATGCTGAGTCTGAGGACAACGACGCAGAAGAGTTTGTGTGGCTCCGTTTCCCTCCGGAGGTCGAGTTGTTCAGAAGTGACATGAGGATGAAGAATTGAAGTGATTTAGTGATTTGGAGTGAAACGGAGAGTTACTTACTTAATTACAGTAGATTTCAGTTACGTTCATTCTGTAGTTCCAATTACTATACGAATTGTGAGATTTTGACTAGTATGAATGTTAAATTATTGCATAGTTTTGTAAATGTGACAGGACACACGGAGGAAGTGGGAGAAGCTGTTAGACACTAAACACCCTAGAGGACTTAATTAGATCAACGCTTACATTTTAGCCTCACACTAACCTAACCCTAACCCTAACCCTTGCCTAACCCTAACCTTAACCCTAACCCTAACCCCCTTGCCTAACCCTAACCCTAACCCGACTTCAAACCCCGTACTTACCTTAATATTAAGTTATTAAAAATGTAAATACTCACCTTTACAAAAAAATAACAAATTAAAATTGATTGGACCAACCTCAATTGGCTTACAGTTTATTTTGACCCGCCTTTTTTGACTCTCCTTTGATGACTGGCACCATGACTGAGGTGGTTGTTTTTTCTGACAGTTCTTACACTGAAGCCATCTGATTGGCCCTTTGTCCTGGGACTCCTCCTCCTGCTCCTTTATAAGCAGACAGCAGTCCTCTGCTGCTCGACGGAAGAAGACACATCTCTCCTGCTGAACACACTCACCTGTATTGCAGACTCTACTTTTTCTTGTGCCCAGACCTGAAGAAGACTGGATTACCAGTCGAAACGTTGTTTCTGGGCACTCGTTTATTGATATTTTTCTCACCTTTTTTCTCACTTTCACTCTTTTTTGTTTATTAATTTCAATTTGTTCATTTCATTAAATTTCTTTTATTCCTTTAATATAAAAAATAAAAAACAACAAAAAAAATATATACACTTAATTCCTCCATCATGTCGGGATGGACTCTGGTCCGTCGCGGGCGACGTTCCCGTGCTCCCCGTGTTCGGACACCGACAACAATGCCTCTGCCGCGGGGCGGAGGAGGTCAGCGCTCCTGCAGCCGTGGGAGAGCCAGAGCCTTGTCTGTCTCCTACGGGGGGCAGACATTAAACACTGATTCTAACCCTAACCCCTAACCCCTAACCCTAACCCCTAACACCCTAACCCGTTCCACGTGTTGGGACGGGGCCTTGACAATTATTCTAACCCTAACCCTTAACCCTTAACCCTAAACCCTAACCCTAACCCTCAGTCCATCAAGGGGAAGCAGGAGAAGCCGCCCAAAGCGAGACTCGGACTGTGGCCCATGAGCTCTTGCTGCACTAAGGCCCAGACGACCTCCAGTACTGACTCGTGCTCTAAAAACCTCTCTCCCCACTCCACTGCAGGGTCTGGAAGGACTGTGTCACTATCTGACACCTCCAGCCTCAGCGTCCAAGATGCCATCGCGGAAGTGGACGAGATCCTTTTGGCCGAGGCCAAGGAGCTCACTGAAGAGGAGGGGAGGAGCCTGAGGGCCGACAGTCTGCAGACCGCCACTGATATTGTTGCTTCCATCACCGATGAGTTAAGTCACATCGAGGTGGAGTCCGGAAGATCTACCAGTAGTTCGGAGGACGGCCTTGTTTTCACCCCCTGCCTCAATCTGAAAAGTGTGGCAAACAAGATCCAGGCTTTTTTTGCCTCATGCCGCACTAAAACCGCCCACCGTCACCAAGAGATAAACCTGTGCCGTGGCTCTAGGGTTGACCCTGCAGTGTCCCCAGATGAGGTGGCGGACGAGGTCGCCAGCAAGAGAATGAGACAAAGCCAGCTACAGCCCAGGACCGGTGTGCAGATGTCAGTAGACGCTTTACTGAGCGAAGCATCTGACCGGCTGCACCAGCACACACAGCTGCCCTCCCTGACCGACCCGGTCCAGAGAGTTCTGGGGAGGATCCGGAGAATAGCCTTCAGGATGGTCATCTTCCAGACCGCACCGAGACGAAGACCACAGCCTGTCCAGGCCTTACCTGGTCTTGAGATGTTCCAGGAGCAAGTCCATCGGCTCCCTCAGCCCTATAACCAGGAGGTTGTGGCACCTCTTCCCCCTCAGCCTACACAAGTGCCACTTTATCTTCAGCCTTCTGTGGCCCCTCAGGAGAAGGTGGTGCCCTCAGAGATCTTGGCTGAAACTCCAAAGCCCACTCCAGATGTGCCCAGAGTCCTTTCATCCAAAAAACTGGACCCCCCGCCCAAACTGTGGAGTGGCGATGACTGTAACGCGCTGGTATATGAGGTGGTGTTAAAGATCTTCAAGAAGGAATTTGACCCCCTCTCAGTGCATCTGTCCCGGGACCTCCTGGCACAGCTGGAGGACCAGATTTCAGAGTGGACCGTTGTGGTGAAGCCCAGCAGGTACAAAGACGTGGCCTCTGCTGTGTATAAAGACCTGTGCAAAGGGCAGCAGAAGGTTCACGTTCGACATGCAGCCCTCGCCCAGGGAGGCTTCAGCGCCAAGGTCCTCGACACCATCCGCCAGCGTCTGACCACCCCAGAGGGGCTCCTTCATGCGCTCAATGTGGCGCTCCCTCTGTAGGCGCTAACACCCTAACACCTGACCCAGTCCTGCGTCCTGACTCAGGCCGTCAGCTTGGAGCAGAGACACGGGGGGTAATCGACCTCCTGGTTCTCTGCTTCTGATGGACCGAGTGGAGCTCCTCAGCACTGAGCTGAACCAAA